ATTAAAAATGTATTTCTGTTTTTTCTTTTGACATATTTTGTTAAAAGAAAAAACAGAAATACATTTTTGATATTAATAATTTATTACTATGCGATAAGTCAAGATTATTTTTTGTGTAGTCTTCTGCCCCCTGTTATCAGGTGTATCTGATTGTGTACAATAGGATTTTGAGCAAAGTTTTTACCATTAAATTAAGCAAAAGGTGTCAGACACAAAACATTTCAGAAACCGTATCAAATAAGATACATTTGGCATTATTGGGTTAAGCAAAGTGGGTGACAGCAGAATGAGGACCTCATACAGCTTTGACTCAGAATTGCATTTTTAATATCTAAAATGCACGATAATGGGAGATAAATCTGCTGTAAATCTACAGGATGGAGCAGTTTGGTTAGACGATGATTTTTTCCTGATAAACAAAATCAAACTTTTAAAATGTCCCCTTCAACATTCACTCAAAGGGAGAAACATGGAAAAGCATGAATATCGGGATAATGGATGCAAGACAAGGTCATTAAGGAAAAGGACGCGGGCAGTTAATGTGAATAACTTATTCTTCTATTAGAGAAACAAAACCACACGCCGTAGCAGACATTCCTTATTTCTGCCTTATCCAATTAGCATTTAGGCTTTCAGCTTTTACTTCTTTTTGGAAATTTGTCAGAATCAGAATCAGAATTAGAAGTTTTATTGCCAAGTAGATTTTTGACTTACAAGGAATTTGCCTTGTTGTTTGGTGCACAACACTTCTATGAGAAGCAAGAAAATACAATTTAGAAATAAAAATATAGAACAGAAAATATAAAACTAAAAGTACAATCTTTAAAAATATAGATCTGCGAATAGAAATATGGATATAAGACTCATTAAATTACAAATATCAAAAGTATGTATACAGGTGTGAATGTACAGAATAGTATAAATTTACAAAAAAATGGTTTGATTTGTGTACATTTAAGTGTTCCTTTATAAAGAAACACATACACCATTAACTTGAGATTTGATCAAACTCTTCCAAAAGAAAAAAAAATACTCCTTGATTTCACAACTGTCCAACTAATCACTACCTGAAGATCATCAGTAGAGTTTGAGAGGAGCTCACTGTTGTGCGCTGGTGATAATGCACATTTAGTCTCAGTTTGAGACTCCTCACATTGATCCGTTAGATATGGGCCTCCACAAACAGCATTGTGGTGGTGGGGGGGGAGTCATGGGTGAAGCAGTGTAGCCGCCCAAATCTCTTTTAGAAAGGGTTATTAGTTCCTTTTGATTTGTGTTTGGCCGCCTGTCACCCAAACCCATTCCCTGAAATCACAGCACTATAATGGTCTAATCAGCACTTAACGAGCCATGTTACATAAAATCAATGCAGCCGTCCATTTGTGAATGCAGAATATTTGGAGGAGCTGGAGAAGTCTGGGGGCAGGTGGGGCCGTGGGCGGG